CCTTGGCTGAGAAGAAAGGGTGGCGCATTGACAGAAATACCTGTACCTTCTAATACTTTGTTCAGCACAAACCCTTTCTCGGCCATAATTGAATCACCTTCTTCCAGAAGATCAAGGAGACCAGATAATTTTGTAATTTCAACATCTGACATACACCCTGTGTATAATGAGGACACAAAAGTGAGAGCTCCATGAGGAGCAATTCCAACAAGCCCTTTCCATGTGTGGGAACTTTTGTATGTTGAATAACATTTTGATCCAAGTGCTAGGGACGATGGACGCTCAGTTTTAATCTCTGTGCAGTCAATTATGACTCTAGTTGAGGGGTAAAACAATTTGAAGGACTGGGGCATTTTTTCATAAATTTGTTCCTTACTAGGCCAAATATTCATGCTGCCTAAAATGAAATACAGAAAGTTTGCCCATGTTATGATCTTTCGACTAACTGTAGAAACATGACAATTGAATCTGACTCCTAAATCTTGTGCCATTAGACCACATTTCAGCCTGCATAGGAACATGAACAACTCGTCAATTAACAACATGCTTCTTTGTTTGCCTACATTTACCAGCTGGTTAGGTTTATCACATGATTTATAATAATAGCTTTTCATACAGGTTGCAGTAGGTTTGACATATTCAAAAAAAGCTAAAAACATAGCCATTGTTGCAAATCCTGTGTAAAATTGAATCATTGAATCGTCATTTGAAAACCGCTGAATTCCAAATCGTTCAACCTCAATCCTCTGCTGTAGAGCCTTTATTTCTTCATCCTTCTTCTGCAACAAACTTTCTAATTCTTGAATTCTCTCGATCTTTTTCTGCTTTTTATCAGGAGGAGGAAAACTAAAATCATGATTTTTTTTTTTTTTAAAAAATGAGACTCTGCAAAAATTATATTACATGAAAATAAAAGTCATACCTTAAAGACATAATGACCAGCATTCTACTGTCCAGCAGCAGTTGAAAGGTAAATCATTCAAAAAAAGTTGATTACAATTGCAAACTGAATATTATCAAGTCATCAGTTTGACAAAAGAATAACTTTTTCGAGAATGATCCATGTTAAATATGACTTTGTAAAACATGTCCTGAAAAATTCAAACTTTAGATTGCAAGTCAATAATTATTCCATCAGTATGCATACATGTATTTAAAATAAAGTAGGCACCTTAATGACCTTATGCCTTATGTACTTTTTACTTCATCATTATTTTAAAAATCTATGTTTCTTTTAATATTCGACAGATACCATGCATCACATGTCTTTTTTTTAAGCTTGTCTTGAACAATTCAACTAAAATTACCCATCCTCAATTAACATTGATGGAGTAGAATCCATTCCCTCAGGTCTCACAATATGATCTTCAAAATCCTGCTTCGGTCTTTTCTCTGGAAGGATGTGTTTCACAATTGGGCGTCTAGTGTTGGAATCTGCCTTCCAGGAGAAAACCGAGGGGACAGATCCAGGTTTCAATGTTGTCCTCACTGGTGTCCATTCGATATCTTCCCTTTTAAAATGGCGAGAGCAGACAACTGTTTGATCACTTATCTGAATAATATTAAATGAATTTTACTCAATATTATTTACATGACATATATACTAGAAGCAGTTAACATTTTGGAGCATTTCTACATAACTTTATTAGCCTAAACAAAACAAACTTGCATGGAAGATGCATCTAGGGATATCAGTTGGTTAATGATACTTCATAACAAATACATGTAGCCTATGTGATTTTTTTTTTTCAAGTTGAGAAACTATGGGGTATTAAACTTCACATGTAAAACACTGTCATTGATTGTTTTAATATTTAACTGTTTAACTACAGTAATAACGATTTTTTTTTTACTGGACTTAACGCTTTTTATGATTACAGAAAGTTATGGTAATATTTAGCTTTTACCACCTCTATTAAACAGCTGATTGACTTCCTGGTTAACATACTCCACTAGGACCTACATGCCTCTGCATCATGATCAGATGACATTTCGATTTATAAATATGTCATTCCAAATATATTTTGATAAATTTATGAAAATTATGATTAATCAACTAATGGTAATATATGTTTGTTTAAATAAGCGCTGATCACTGATTAGTTTGCATCAATATTGTTTACGTGTTCTTGAAACATGTATTCGAAGGTCACTCACAGTAAAAAGGGGGCCAGGGTCTCTTCTGATCGCTTGGATCCATGCCTTCCTCATTTCGGGCGCCTTTGGTATCCGGTGAAATGATAACTCTGGATGGATTCGCCCATTTCCGTTACAAAATGGTACACAACAGTGTTTGTCGTGACCCTTCCCTTCCTCCTCTGACGCCGACATTTTGTTTACATTTTACCGACCTTAGCCTCGTTTTCGATTTTTCAGCGCGACTTATGAATATTCTTTGAAAATGGAGTATATCAGCTGTCTTGTTTAAATTCATCATTTCGTAAGTTCTATGGTCGATACAATGACCTTGTCAGCAAATACAATTTATCACTGAGTCAAATGCTGACTGACGTTTTTCATACTGATTGTTAGGCCATTATTTACACACTGAATTGTCGACGGATTTTTCCGTTATTTCCCGATCATGACAAGGAGCACACGGCGGGTGTGACCGGTCGGTAGGGGATGCACACTCCTCCATGGCACCCGATCCCACCTCTGATGTTTGGAGGTCCGTGTTTGCTCTGCTCCTATTTTGTATTGTATAATGGACGTTTGAGCTTGAATACTGTTCGTTATCTCCATATATTTCATGGTAGCTGTTGAGAATAATTGTTAAATTGAATAATCCCGATTATAATGTCCATACTTATCAAAAACTAAAACTTTTTGATTTTATACATTTAAAGAGACACCTTCTAAATTATAAAACTAATCTTACCAATCCAGTAGTTTTTAGAGGGATTCCCAAATCCTTGTTTATATTCTGACCAAGCCCTGTAAAAATCTGTAGATCCGTCCTGTCTTCTTTGTATCGCCTGAAACATTTAAGAAGGCTGTCTCTTTGATTTAACATGAAGTAGGTTTCAGTGAAAAACCCGTGCATGCGTTCAAAAATGCAGGCCTCTTTAAAGTTCTATTGAAATTAGTTTTTGTCTACAAAGAACAGGTTACTGTTACATGTAACTTACCGTCCAACCCCCTCCCTTTGTTGTCATGTCACAGTAAACTTTCTTCTCTTGTTTTCCATCCGGATAAATTGTATATACACCATCCTTTCTTTTCCGACCTGGATTTTTCTTCAGTATGGTTGCACAGTCTTTGTACTTTTTAACTGAAATTAATAAAGCAGTCCAGTTTACGGTATGTTACATGTATATTTAATTGAAATAATAAAAAAAAAACACTGTTTGAAAATAGGATGAGAATATAACTGAATTTTTGGTAAAGTAAAAAATTATTAAGAACCAGTAGATGTCTTGCAAGAACAAATGATACATGTAACATTTTTCCAAAAGGAATTTTTAGGCATGATAAATAACATAAAATAGTATTCTGTAACACTAAGTGTTAGTATTAAAGCACGTATAGTAAGAAGACTAATTACTCATTACTTTAAAACAAAAAGTACCTTTTATAAATGCATCCTTTGATATTTTCGTTACATTATATGTAGAGACAACATCCACTTTGAAGGAAACAGGATGCACGGTCTTAACATGGGATCTAGTCAGTTTCCAAAACCATCGAGAACTTTTTAGATGTTGATAAAGTTTTGCTGAAATTTTTGAAAATAATAATAATAAGTTAATCTTTGAAAATAGTATCTGAGTTATATTTATTAGGAATAAAGCAGGATTTGAATGTTTGTATTTTAATTTGACTTAAATATTTCAATTATTTTTTTAGTAACATTACATAAGAAACACATCAGCTTACTTAAATGCCCATATTAGACATACCCTTTCACACCATTTTTCATACACGCTACAGAGAATATACATCCCGTAACTCAACATTCAATTTTTAACAGAAAGATAAAAGATGCTTATTTTAGAAAGTAATGCATGAAATAGCGCTGTATTAAAAATGTTTTTTCCCCAAAAAAAATATTTTCTCTTTAACACAGTTGTTAAATGTTTTTAGCAGAAAACAAAAAAGTGTTAAATATCCTAATATCCTTCCGTACAAAAATTACATCGTGTACTAATCTAGAATTTATTTAGGATCTTAATTGTTTTCATGTCTTTTTCTCTGTAAAAATTAAGCAGAGATATATTTTTTATCATGACTGACCAGATGCATCAAGCATAGTGGTCTTTTCGATAAGCATACCCCCATTTAGGTGATATATTTTTAACAACTATTTTTTGCAAACCTTTGAAAACCTGAAATGGATTAAGCGAAGCAAACCTAATATTCAGAAAAACAAGAAACAAATATGTTCTGACATGTTTGTTTTAACTCAAATGGGACAAGGGGAGAAGATATTCAGCCCTCTTTCTTTTCGCAATGTTATAATGTTATTGTTTAGTTTTTATCTCATTAACAAAAAGTTTTATTTTAAAAAATGTGGTTTGTAACAATCCTTAACCTCTTTTATAATTTCAGAAATATGCTTATCCACACGTCAACTTCAATATTACATCTTGTCAAGCTATCCCGACATGTAAACACTTTGACTTTTACGGACAAAAATACTTTCAGAATATCAATCAAGTGATCAGTTATACGATATTTAAAATGATTTACTGTATTGGTACATACATTAACCTAGTTTTATGGCACAGAAAGCAACCACAATCAAGATATGAATTAAGACTATATAAAAGAAACACCACACGATTTTAACCTTGCGAAGTTTTAAAAGGTGTGTTACTTTTGCCAAACGTTCCTTCTATCGGAGCATTCTGATATTGTTATAGTTTTAGCACAAGCTAAACTTTTGTACTCGATTTTTAAATTAAAAATGAATGCGTAAATTTCTGGCCCTACCTCATATAATCTTATAAAGATGTCGTTAACAAAAGAAAAATATTGTAGAATTGTAGAATAAATACCTTTGTAAGACGGAGGAACCGTGTCGGCATTCGAGTAAACCGATATGAGGACAACACACAAGCTTATCTGGATTACAGACTTCATACTGTTCTATATGCAGTACAACCATGAATTTACTTTTATATAGTAAGTTACCAATGCAATCTAATCATTATTGTGAAAGGTGATACCCTTTTCATGCAAGAAAAATTGATTCTCGGACATAGTCATACACTCCAAAGTTATATATTTTAGTATATATATTTTTACTTATGAATTTTAAAGTCTCCTGGATAATTTTATTTTTCCTTTAAATTAAAGCTTGTTGTTAACTAAGGCACCCCTTAAGGACCATGTCGTTCACAAAATCATAATTTATTTATTTTTCCCCCACAAAATATATAAATGTATTTGCATATAGTATTAAAAGTTAAGAGAAAGAGAGATGTATTAAAAAACATATTTAGAAGTTAATTCCACAAATTGAATTGTAGCATGTATCATTACATTGAGGAGTGAGCGTAGCATAACATGTTGCAATTGTATTGTTAGGCAAAGCTTGATCAGCATAACAGCATGATCTTCGGCATGGATAAATATTAGGGATGTCAACGAGTACCCGGTTAACCGGGTACTCGATCGAACGTCCGAGTATCGAATACTAGAAATGGTACTCGGTTACTCGGATGTGTATTTTTTTTTATTTCAAAGTACATATTTTTATCAAAAACTTAATATCAAAAAATAACTAAAATATGCATACGGGTAATTAGCGTGTCGTCATCTACACATGTAAACACCCGTTATCGCCTATGGCTGTGTATATACAGTAATTAGTGACCAATCACCTGGTACGCAGCTGTTCACACCTATTGTGGTCACGGTCCTTAATTTTTTATGGTTTCAATGATTGTTTTTCACTGAACATCGATCGTTTAATATGATCTATTGTCCTCAAATCATTTTAAAATTATAGTTAATATACGGCAGCGAAATTGGACATGCATAGAAATGCCTTTACCCACTTCAAAATAAGTAAAGATTCCCCAAAAAAAGTTTAAAGTCAGTTTCCATAGTAAGTTTAGTGTATACGGGGAAAACAACCAACATATGAAAAAAATATTAGACTAGCGATCCAAACAATGTCCGTTCCTTCTCTTTCGCTAGTCTAATCATCACAAACCTGCGTAACAGATTTTCCTCCTTTTGCGTTGATGAAATAGATCCTAAAGAAGAACTGTATACCATTTGTAATTTTTGATGTATTAATTGTCTTTTGTATTTATTTAGTACCAAAAATCATTTCCGTTGGACTCGATGTTTATATAAATTCATAAAACGTGATAAACACAGGTTTGGGGTTTAACAAATTAACAATTAAAAATAAACAAACTTGTATTAATTTACATTTTTACCGAGTACCCGGGTACTCGATTGGAAAAATGTCCGAGTAACCGATTATCAAAAATTGACCGATTTGACATCCCTAATAAATATCCATATATATTTTTGTCTGCTTGAAAATCGATAAACAGATTTAAAACATGTCCAAAATTAAGTATTAATTTGTACATTTTAGCTACCAATTAGGAACAAAATAATCAAATTCAGAGTAAACAACATAAAATATTCAATAGTTAGCTAGACAGTGCCCAGAAAACATTTGCATAAAATCATTTTGTTATCTTAATTCCAACTCATTTGCGTCAATTTCTATTCTTTTAGCATAGGCATTAAATCTACCGTAAGCATAATCGGTTTCATTGTTAGAATTGTCCTAACTTCTGAATATCATGTCAGACTCAATGTAAACTTTAAGAAGACGGGGAACATGGCGTGATTCAATTTATGAACCAAGTGTAAAGAGCAAAATTCTTATTAAGGAAATGTTTTTATTTTTTCTTTTTGTTACGGCAAAAACCAATTAATACACACCCATCATATATCATACATCAGTCTTAACTTTGTATGAGAACGCTTAAATGCACAAATTGTCATTAAAGAAACAAGTACCTAGAAAAATGGAGACACCAAATGATGATATTCCTTGTAACCAGGAACAATTAAAAAAAATTGATAACTGAGTCTGAGTCCGATCAAGAAGATGAATTTGATTATGATCTGGACCTAACGAATTTGGATTTACCTTCTACAAAAAACAATTCTCAACCCGAAAAGGCACTGGCAGACATTGTGTCAGAAGCAGTCAAGAAGTGTGAGACAATTAAATAAGAGACACAATATTGCATGTGCGCGTGAAGGCATTTCCTACGCAATTGTGTCAGGCAGATTACCACCATACATGAAATGGCAAATAGAGTGTCGTCCAAACTTGGGGGATCCAAATATTAATAAAGAATTTCAGGAACTGTGGAAGACCGAAACACGGTTTCTGAAAGATAAAGCGCTAAAATCAACAGTTGACTTCATGGACGACAAGATTAGTCAATCCAATCACCATCTTAAAGATATCCGGGTAGAAACCATGAATTCAATTGGTAAATCTACCTCTGCTGCTGGTCTTGCTAAGACACAATTGAATGACAAAACAAGAGAACTTAAAGAGAAATTTGATCGCTACCTAATGGAGTTCAAAATGAATATTAGATCGGTAAGAAAACCGGCTCAAGTTGGGTATACAGAAAAGTAGTTCGTATTAAAAAAATATTTGGTGATATTAATGCGTAATATTCATTATTGTTAATTAAAAATAAAATTAAAATTAATATAATTTTCATTTTTATGTAAATATTTGTTATTTATGTAATACAATATATCATACATGAATATTTTATTAATTCTTAGAAATGAATATGAATAGGTTGTTTATGTTGGAGTATACAACCCACAGTTCGACAAGGTCTACATGCTATAGTTGTACAGTGGTTTGTTAATATTGGAGAATACAAGTCCATAGGTCTACAGGTAAACATCTAAGTACGGTTTATCACAAAATATCACGCTATTTGACGAGAACACAATATTGTACGACTTATTATATTGCTTATTTCCAAGCGATAATTAGTTCGTTCTGCTTTCAATTAAGTAAATCGCGCTTCATTTATCTTAGTTGGATAAAAAAAAACAGACAAGCGAAATGCTTGTATAACAAATAACATTCCGATAAAAACTTACAAAACGAAATTTACACGTTTCTTAACGCACGATCACGCACGATTAAAACCGCAAACGACTGAGCCTGATACACGCACGATCTCGCACGTTACACGAACGATCACGCACGTTACAAGAACGATTCTACACGATTGGTTTGTCAACAATAACGTTGCAGCCACTGTAATATTGGAGTATATAAGTCCACAGGTCTACAGGTCGACAAAGTCTACAGGTCGACAGGTCTACAGGTCGACAAGGTCTACATGCTAGTTGTATAGTAGGTTGTTAATATTGGAGTATACAATTCCACAGGTCTACAGGTCGACAAGGTCTACAGGTCCACAGGTCCACAGGTCGACAAGGTCTACATGCTAGTTGTACAGTAGATTGTTAATATTGGAGTATACAAGTCCACAGGTCTACAGGTCGACAAGGTCTACAGGTCGACAGGTCTACAGGTCGACAGGTCTACAGGTCGACAAGGTCTACAGGTCCACAGGTCCACAGGTCGACAAGGTCTACATGCTAGTTGTACAGTAGATTGTTAATATTGGAGTATACAAGTCCACAGGTCTACAGGTCGACAAGGTCTACAGGTCGACAGGTCTACAGGTCGACAAGGTCTACATGCTAGTTGTATAGTAGGTTGTTAATATTGCAGTATACAATTCCACAGGTCTACAGGTCGACATCATAATAATATATTATATATATTATATATTGCATGTAGTTGAGTGATATATATTATATCTTAGTATTATTATGATTATATATTATATATATATAATACAAGTCGACAGGTCTACATGCTAGTTGTAAAGTAGGTTGTTAATATTGGAGCATACAAGTCCACAGGTCGACAGTTCGATATGGTCTACATGCTAGTTGTACAGTAGATTGTTAATATTGGAGTATACAAGTCCACAGGTCTACAGGCCGTCAGGTCAACAGGTCTACAGGTCGTCTACATGCGAGGTGTACATGTTTGACATGTTTAAGTTTAAATGAGGTAAAAATTGAAAATGAAAATAAATTGTATGGATATGTAGAAATGTTCTTAAATTTCAGAGACTAATGTGACCAATGTCATCGATAAGCTTTTGGTAAACATCGCCATTTGAAAATCCATATCGATATCTATATGAAAATTCGTTTAAAACATCCTCTATCTTGTCGTGGAGAATGCCTTTCATTTTCTTGATTTTGTTTTTTTGTAATTCCCCATAGTCCCTCAATTTCGTTGGTACATGTCCCATCACTGGCTAAGAATTCTTTGGAATGGTTGACTGTTTTGTGCACATATCCCTCTTCTACCAGAGTGTTATATGCTGACCAGCAATCGGAATGAATTGTAGACCCTTCAGAAACAGATTCTTTGATTATAGGCAATAGGGTGTCTTTATTTCTCTTTTCCACCACACGAAATATGACTTTCCTGGTTCCTTTTTCGATCATTCCAAAAACCCAAGTATCCTGTCTTCCTGTTCCCCTATTATATTTTCTTTTTTTTCCAAAATAAACTTTCATCAATTTCGATGATTCCCATACTTTCTCCAAGTGTAATTGGATCACTCTTTAAAAATTGCAAAGTCATAGATCGTAATTTACGAAACCACTCTATCACAGTGCCATGATTAACATCAACCAGTTTCTCAATTTCATAAATCTGAAAATCCATTCCAAAGTAATATAATATTTCAGTGAGTTTTTCCAGAGATAATTTGGAATTCTGAAAAAAAAAAGAAAGTGAACATTGTATATAAAATTAAAAATTATATTGTAATAAATTGAATCTGATTTAATATATTTATTGTTTGTTCTAAATATTTATGGTACCATAGTTATATTTTGTATTCTATTTAAACTATTTCTTACCTCAAAAATGGAATTTTTCCTTATTGAACAAGAAGAAATACAGCATGAACATTTCCACTGGGCCTGATCTGACAAATCCTTTCGTTTCACTAAACTCATTTTCGAACC